GAGGTTCCACAAATCTACCGTGCCCTTTAGAACCGGTTCCAGCTCCCTCCCACCACCCGCCACACCACGTGTGCCTCGCCCGCAGCTCACTGATTGTCTGGCTCCCCAAACACCCCGCCCACCTCTAAGAGTCCTATCTAAAAGTCTTAAAGCTGTCAAGTTACAAGACCCTTGCACCCCTAACCCTTTAGAAAAAAAAAAAAAACCCCGGGGATGTTCAAATTTGACAGCTTTAAGACTTTTAGATAGGACTCTTAGAGGTGGGCGGGGTGTTTGGGGAGCCAGACAATCAGTGAGCTGCGGGCGAGGCACACGTGGTGTGGCGGGTGGTGGGAGGGAGCTGGAACCGGTTCTAAAGGGCACGGTAGATTTGTGGAACCTCTTCTATAGAACTGGCAGGAACCCACCCCTGCTCCCACGCTCCTCCTCCTCCTCTGATTCGGCTGCTGGAGGGAGCCGGCGGCTGACAGGTGACAACACCCCCAGCCAAATGGGACATACACTCCCATTTTTTTAGTGCTTCCAAGGATTTGGGATGCTGAGCATAGAGCTGCCCCTTTTCATCCTTGTATTAACCAAGATTTGAAGTAGGCCACATTGGGTCTGACTCGTGGCTCAAGGAATAAGCCAAGATGCAGGCCACGGGAGGGGAATTCATAACACTGGCAAGATTGGCGCTGTCTGATCATGTTTTATGCCCACAGGAGAACTGGCAGAAGGAATCTGGGGAGCCTGTGAGCCGGGAGGAGCTGCTCCTCACCCTGCAGAACCTGGAGGCCGTCATGATCCAGACGGTGTACGATAATCGGATGGCCACGGTGGGACTGAGCAACATCGTCATGGACACCACCACCACAGAGGTCACCAGCCTGGGTGTGGCGCATCATGTGGAGGAGTGCAGGTGCCAGCCAGGGGGGCGGTTACTTTACTTATGGGGAATCTCTAAGACCACAATCTGTTTGGGGGAAGAGGGCCTACTGGATCACACATTCCCCATAACAAGTTGGCTTTGAAGTCAGACAACACTTTTAGCTGATTCCCCAGTTTGTTTGGGTTAGAGGGTGAACATGGAAGAGAGGGTTAACAGAATGTATGTCTCCCCCCCCCCCCCAATCATAGAGAGGGGAGCCTCTAAAGCCTGGAAAAACAGGGCCACTCGATGTTTTGACCGAGGCTTCCCAAAAGCACGAAGCCGACTCCTCGTCCTGATAAAACACCTTTCATTAAGTTCAAAGGTTAATTCCTCCAGCTAAGTCCGAGCCAACAGTCTTTCATGAGATTTCACAACTACAGACCTTGATCAGGCTTGGAGAGCTGCCAGGCCGATATCTTCCAAAAGCCACACTGTAGCAGCAATTATTTGGCAAGCATTCAGGAACAGATCTTCGCCGTAATGAATTGAACTCATTGCCTCCTGCAAACTCCCCTCCCCTTCTGCTCCTCTTTTATTCCCTTTGGGAGGGGCCATTCACCGCCCACCTGCGGCTTTACTCCCATCAGCCCTTATTCCTTAGCTGTTATCTTCATCTGGCAACTCTGCGCATGCGCACACTGGGAACAGGCTCCAGCTGTTCTTCTGCCTCACTTATATCTGGCTTCGAAGGGATCTGAGAACTGTGAGACAGCCCTGACTCCCTTTCTGCCTCCAACACAGAGCCCTCGTCAGAGCCTTCCCCAGACTCCAGGACTGGCCTATGTTCCTCCCCAACCTCCTCACTGTCTGAGTCTGCCGCCAGCTCTGCTGGCTGCTGGTGGGTCACAACACTCTAGCTTTTGCCTTCTGATGACCCACAGCTTCCACTCTCATCAGGCAGCAGAAATTTTTTTGCACTAAAATATTATTTGCCTCCTTGCACAGACAGCCATTTTGCAGACATCTTTGTCCTCTATTTATTCTGAGTAGACCTATCGGGCTTGGCTATGCCCTGCTGAAACTCCCTGCCATGACCTCTCCGGGCAATCGTGCTTCCATCCAGAGCCGTTCTGAAATAGCCAGAACACGAACAAGCTTTGCACTACCTCCTCACTCGCTTTGCCTGTTGTGGTCCGCTGGCGGCCAGTGCAGCTGGCAGCAGAGTCGGGCAGTGAGGAGGTTGGGGAGGAACATGGGTCAGTCCTGGAGACTGGGGAAGACTCGGATGAGGGCTCTGTGTCGGAGGCAGAGAGGGGGCCAGTGCCATCTGGGAGTTATGTGCTGCCTCCAGAGCCTCCAGAAGTGGACAAGAGCGAGGCAGAGGGGGAACCTGTTCCCAGTGCGCACATGCGCAGAGCTGCCAGAAGGCAAGAACAGTAAAGACAAAAGGAACAACTTGGGAGTAAGGCTTAGAGGTGATTGGCCCCTCCCATAGGACATAAAAGAGGAGCAAAGGCACATGAGCCTTTGCAGGAAGCAACTTTGTTCGTGCTGGTTGGTTTAAATTCTGAAGCTCCGTTTGGGCTCTTTGCTCCGTGTGGCCTTGCAAGCTAATTGCCCATTAGGCCTTTGGCAGTGTTTCAAGGAAGATAAAGGTGGGTGCTTATCAGCCTTATCCCGAAAGACTTTGGCAGACTTCTCTCGGACTCTTTACAAACTATTTGT